CAAATGCACATAGTATTCGCTGGAAATAGGTTCAAAGGCAACAGAAGTACTTGATACTGTCAGCTGAGAAGGGATACAAGTTGTCACTACCCTTCACGTCTTCCAGGAAAGAGATTCTGCATGCTCCAATTCTGCCTCCATGGAAGTCGTGAGAAGCGATGACAATCGGAACCTGGCCCCCCATATCCTCTCCTGACGCTAATTTTCTTTTGAGGGTGGCTATGATGTCTTCTGAGAATGACCTCGAAGCAGCAGGGCTGGGCTCCAAATTTGACAGGGGGATCTCATGGATACCTAGAATGAACATAAGTTATTGAATATAAACGACCACGGATTCATCAAAAGCTTCTCAGATTATAGCCATGTATTAAAGAATCATACTTTCGAATTAACATCCTTCAGCAGGTGAGAAAGAGGACCATCTCATGAGGAAATTTCCTTATGTGCCCGATTGTCCGAATTCTCATGCAGATAGAAGGCGTTATTGGAAAGTATTGGTTGAAAATAAATACAATACGAGACCTGTTCACGCCTCACGCATCAAAAGTTTCTCAAGGATGCCGCTACAGGGGAAGGAAAAGTGTTCAAATCAAGCGTGAACAGGTCTCGTAATCCTTCTTTGACCTTCAAACTCAAACAGTGCATATACCACTGTCACTATAACTATTAAATAGTATGCACATAGATCAGTTTATTTTGAGCATACAGTGAAAACTCCTTAACTCGAACTTTTAAGGACCGGGAAAATCGTTTCGAGTTATATGAAGTTCGAGTTATCAGGAATCCACCCCCCCCCCAAAAAAAAAACACGTCAAAGGACATAGTGGACAGAATGGCTCGGAGTGAGAGCAATAGATTGACAGAGCGAATGTTGGAGTCTTTTTTATAGCCAAAGCTTAAGCTGAAGCTTTCGGTTTGAATCCTCAGGTTTTATCCTCTCCACAGGTTTGTGTGGGAGGAGGGAGAAGCAGTCAAAGAAACGAAAGAGCATCCTCCCTAACGGGTTTTATATCATTCATTCTATTCAAAAATTGAAAAGTCCCACAAGAATAATTTTTCCCTTCTTCTCACCCTGAATTCTAGTTAACCGTGAGAAGATCGTTATAGGGAGTGAAAATTTCATTCGAGATATCCGGAAATTCGAGATAAGCGAATTCGAGTTAACATGGTGTCCTACGGGGTTCCGCCGGGAACAATCATTGAACTTCAAGATAAGCGGAATTTCGACTTATCAGGATTCGAGTTAACGAGTTTTCACTGTATTTATAAAAAAAAAAGCTACTACTCCATATTAAGGAAGGTTCGGTGGAGTGCTAACCCAATTACATTCTTTTGGATGTTTTTTTCTATAGACAAATTTTTTATTTTAGCTCTACAAGTACTATGTCTCATGTCGTCATAGGGGGCTTTGGAGGAAACATGTGCCGCCCCTCCCAAATTCCTTTAAAAGAGTTAGGGAGATACGAATGACACAAAGCTTGCAATATTCTGACCGTGGCGAACTTATCTTTGTTTCTCAATCCGCAACTTCACATGTTTTCATTAACTCTCACTAGAGCTTCCAAGTCATTAGAAAAAAGAAACCTGAAGTCTGAAATATACTGAAATTACTCACCAAAATAGCACTTTGCCAGCATTGCTGGGTTCAGAATTACTTCACCTGGTGGCGCTTCGTTTTCTTCCGCTGCAGTTGGGTGCTCTCTGCCAGCCAAGACCTTTTCCGCGCACTTCTCATGTGGTCTTCAGTGGACTGCAGTTCTGATCCCGATTCGGAAGACGTAGAATGCCGTGATAGGCCTGGGTTTGTAATGGCGTTGATCCTGTTGTTGAGAATGAAATCAAATTTGTTAAAATAGAATCATCTTCATGGCGGCAGCACATACTTTCATGAGAATCAGGTAAATTATATGGAAATGAATACAAACTGGCTTCCATCTCCTTGGCGTTGGCCCGATTTACGTTCAATTCCATCTCTGACGTTCGAAATCATTAAGTTGATCCCCTGCACCAAACGCGAAATTGTCCTTTCCTTCATATACTCTCCAATGATGAGCTTGGTGATCTTGGTCTTCGTACAGATCCGAGTGACAGGGAATGCCACGGTGTCCATTCTGCCGTCAAACTCCTACTAAATAGAAATGGTCGAAATTCTTTGTTCCAAGACCCTTCAAACCCAAATTTTCCCCGAAGGGCATATAATTAGACTGAGCGGATTTCACTTTCCAAAGGCACGACAGTATAAAAACTACACATTCTTATTCCTAATTCATAGCACTCTTTCTGGAGCAAGATGCGAGGGGGAGAAGCTATTTCGCGAAATTTTTACTAATTTAAATTTAATATAAAATAAAATCGCCGAAATATTTTAAAGTTCGATATCTCTTGGGTAAAGAGGACGGTCAGCGATTTTACTCCTTAACACATTGACAGCCAAGTACGAGATATCTCGTGCTTTGCTTTGAACAATACCACACGGTTGCTGATTTCTAACATTGCATGATGGAGTCCTGAATACAACTAATTGCTCTCACTTTTTTCCGAGTTTCTGGGACTGAATAAAAACATATGAAAGATAGATATTAATACCTTTTCAAATACTTTTTTTTAAATTTATATGGCGTGCAAATAACAAAAATGGTGACGGTTAACTTCGAGACTCCTGAGGGGTGCAACGGACCCTACCTCGATGTTACTCGGATTCTTGTGGGTTTCGCAGCCTTGATGCCCGGGTATTCTTCCTTGTTCCCTTTGATCTTCAAGGGGTGCCCTCCGTCATTCTTGTTCTCGCTCACCATGACGATGATACTCTTGTCTCTGGATGTGAAGTGTATCNTCCATGGAAGTCGTGAGAAGCGATGACAATCGGAACCTGGCCCCCCATATCCTCTCCTGACGCTAATTTTCTTTTGAGGGTGGCTATGATGTCTTCTGAGAATGACCTCGAAGCAGCAGGGCTGGGCTCCAAATTTGACAGGGGGATCTCATGGATACCTAGAATGAACATAAGTTATTGAATATAAACGACCACGGATTCATCAAAAGCTTCTCAGATTATAGCCATGTATTAAAGAATCATACTTTCGAATTAACATCCTTCAGCAGGTGAGAAAGAGGACCATCTCATGAGGAAATTTTCTTATGTGCCCGATTGTCCGAATTCTCATGCAGATAGAAGGCGTTATTGGAAAGTATTGGTTGAAAATAAATAAATACGAGACCTGTTCACGCCTCACGCATCAAAAGTTTCTCAAGGATGCCGTTACAGGGGAAGGAAGTGTTCAAATCAAGCGTGAACAGGTCTCGTAATCCTTCTTTGACCTTCAAACTCAAACAGTGCATATACCGCTGTCCCTATAACTATTGAAAAGTAGTATGCAAATAGACCAGTTTATTTTGAGCATACAGTGAAAACTCCTTAACTCGAACTTTTAAGGACTGGGCAAATCGTTTCGAGTTATCAGGAATCGCCACCCCCCCCCCCCCCCCCCCCAAAAAAAAAAAAACACGTCAAGGGACAGAATGGCTCGGAGTGAGAGCGATAGATTGACAGAGCGAATGTTGGAGTCTTTTTTATAGCCGAAGCTTAAGCTGAAGCTTTCGGTTTTAATCTTCAGGTTTTATCCTCTCCACAGGTTTGTGTGGGAGGAGGGAGAAGCAGCCAAAGAAACGAAAGAGCATCCTCCCTAACTGGTTTCTTGTCATTCATTCTATTCAAAAATTGAAAAGTCCCACCAGAAGAATTTTTCCCTCCTTCTCACCCTGAATTCTAGTTAACCGTGAGAAGATCGTTATAGGGAGTGAAAATTTCATTCGAGATATCCGGAAATTCGAGATAAGCGAATTCGAGTTAACATGGTGTCCTACGGGGTTCCGCCAGGAACAATCATTGAACTTCAAGATAAGCGGAATTTCGACTTATCAGGATTCGAGTTAACGAGTTTTCACTGTATTTATAAAAAAAAGCTACTACTCCATATTAAGGAAGGTTCAGTGGAGTGCTAACCCAAATACATTCTTTTGGATTTTTTTTTCTATAGACAAACTTTTTATTTTAGCACTACAAGTACTATGTCTCGTGTCGTCATAGGGGGATTTGGAGGAAACATGTGCCGCCCCTCCCAAATTCCTTTAAATGAGTTAGGGAGATACGAATGACACAAAACTTGCAATATTCTGACCGTGGCGAATTTATCTTTGTTTCTCAATCCGCAACTTCACATGTTTTCATTAACTCTCACTAGAGCTTCCAAGTCATTAGAAAAAAGAAACCTGAAGTCTGAAATATACTGAAATGACTCACCAAAATAGCACTTTGCCAGCATTGCTGGGTTCAGAATTGCTTCACCTGGTGGCGCTTCGTTTTCTTCCGCTGCTGTTGGGTGCTCTCTGCCAGCCAAGACCTTTTCCGCGCACTTCTCGTGTGGTCTTCAGTGGACTGCAGTTCTGATCCCGATTCGGAAGACGTAGAATGCCGTGATAGGCCTGGGTTTGTAATGGCGTTGATCCTGTTGTTGAGAATGAAATCAAATTTGTTAAAATAAAATCATCTTCATGGCGGCAGCACATACTTTCACGAGAATCAGGTAAATTACATGGAAATGAATACAAACTGGCTTCCATCTCCTTGGCGTTGGCCCGATTCATGTTCAATTCCATCTCTGACGTTCGAAATCATTAAGTTGATCCCCTGCACCAAACGCGAAATTGTCCTTTCCTTCATATACTCTCCAATGATGAGCTTGGTGATCTTGGTCTTCGTACAGATCCGAGTGACAGGGAATGCCACGGTGTCCATCCTACCGTCAAACTCCAACTAAATAGAAATGTCCGAAATTCTTTGTTCCCAAGACCCTTCAAACCCAAATTTTCCCCGAAGGGCATATAATTAGACTGAACGGATTTCACTTTCCAAAGACATGACAGTATAAAAACTACACATTCTTATTCCTAATTCATAACACTCTTTCTGGAGCAAGAAGCGAGGGGGAGAAGAAGCTATTTCGCGAAATTTTTACTTAATTTAAATTTAATATAAAATAAAATCGCCGAAATATTTTAAAGTTCGATATCTCTTGGGTAAAGAGAATGGTCAGCGATTTTACTCCTTAACACATTGACAGCCAAGTACGAGATAACTAGTGCTTTGCGTTGAACAATACCACAAGGTTGCTGATTTCTAACATTGCATGATGGAGTCCTGAATATAACTAATTGCTTTCATATTTTTTCCGAGTTTCTGGAACTGAATAAAAACATATGAAAGATAGATTTTAATAACTTTTCAAATACTTTTTTTAAATTTATATGGCGTGCAAATAACAAAAATGGTGACGGTCAATGTGTTAACTTCGAGACTCCTGAGGGGTGCAACGGAACCTACCTCGATGTTACTCGGATTCTAGTGGGGCTTCGCAGCCTTGATGCCCGGGTATTCTTCCTTTTTCCCTTTGATCTCCAAGGGGTGCCCTCCGTCATTCTTGTTCTCGCTCACCATGACGATGATACTCTTGTCTCTGGATGTGAAGCGTATCTACTTCTTGGTGAAATTAAAAACCGCACACTGCGCAGAAAAATAAGGCATCACATCATTATGCAAACACAGGGAAGAGGGAGCATGACTGCAAGATTATGCAATTAAGACCTCTTATTTTCAGTTTTTCATGAGGCACATTGTCATTTAATTTTACTGCAAGTAATTCATAATTATATGAGTAACTATTCTGGTAAAAGCGCACGCTTCTATATAGATGCATTTACATGTTCATTCTCAAATAGACCATCTTACTCGCGGATGAAGTAGGATGGTCCATGGAGGAATCCTTGGGACGAGATGTCGGAGACCTTTCTGCCATTACTCGAATGAATCTGCAATATGGTTGCTCTTGAAATGGTAATAGAAATTAAATTAGTGTGGATATTCGCGTCCAGGAAACTTGAAAAGCTGAAATTATTCTAAAAGGAAGAAACCTGTGAAGGAATGGAAATGGGGGCAATATGAATGGAATCAGTAAAGAATAGATATTGAGGTATGAATGTGGGATGGAGAGAAAGGAGGAAAATGGTTATGTCTGGAGCCGGAGAGACAAACGAGACAACAAGTTAGTCAGGAGAGTTAGTGATATCAAGAGGCGATTTCGCCCATTTCGATATCACGTGTCGAGGTCGAGCGTTCCTTAATTTTAGGGTAGGCCTTTACCCTCTTAAAGCTAAATATTTTTGTATTTTTTTTACTATCTTAGTTGCTTACTGTCTAGTACCTACGTCAACATTGCCCCCCTCCTTTTTGCTGTCCATGAAAGCATCTAGTTTCTTCTTAAAGATAGTCACAGA